CTAGGAGACGCCTGCATGCTCACACTTAATGCAGCACCCTCCACCGCAGCCAAGGCCTAGACTGGACTTGGGTGGCCACCGGCAGAGGAGGGACAAAGGAAATGGAGCACAGGTACACTGGGGCGGATCATTCAGCTCTAAGAAGTAGGGCTGGAGGACAGCGAGTCGAGGGAAGTAAACCAGACAGACAAGTGTGGGAGCCTGTCCTCCCCCAGGTGGATGCTGGAAGAAGCCAGCCTGGGTGTCCAGCAGTGAGGACGAGAGGCTGGGAAGGGAGGAGAGGGAACGCAGGGCGGCAGATCACAGGTACCATGGGTGAGTTCTGGGGCTCCCAGCACAGTAGGGGTGCCTACAGTTCACCAGAACCTACTGTGCACTTCATGAGGAAGAGAGGAGAGAAGCCTGAAGGCTCCAAAGCAAGAAGTGACGGGGACCAGGGACAGAAAGGCTCATGGCCCTGATGTGACCAGTCCACGCTGGAGCCCAGTGTTGAAAAGGAGCACGCTTTTCAACACACACATGCCAATAAAAAAATCTAATTTAAAAAATGATTGTAAAATATAAAAGTACTTGAAAATAACAGGAGAAAATCTAAGTGATGTTGGGTTTTGCAAAAACTTTTACAACACTAGAAGCATGATCCATGAAAAAAATATTGGTAAACTTAACTTCATAAAAATTAAAAACTTCTAGCCAGGAGCAGTAGCTCACATCTGTAATCCTAACTACTCTGGAGACTGAAGCTGGAGGATCTCAGGTTCAAGGCCAGACTGGGCCACTTAGCAAGACCCAGTCTCAAAAATAAAAAAGAAAAAGGCTGGAGATGTGTAGCTCAGAGGCAGAATACTCCTGGGTTCAATTTCCAGTACTAAATAAATAAAAGTAAAATACAAACAAACAACAACAACAAAAACCTTCTGTGAAAGACCCTCTTAAGAGAATGAACAAACAAGCTACAGGCTGGGAAAGAATACCTGCAAAGGAAAGAGCTGAAAAAGGACTTGTATATAAAATACATACAAAATGTACATGAAAATTTCAAAACACAGTAATAAGAGATGGGTGCAGTGGTGCACACCTGTAATCACATCAACTTGGGAGGTCAAGCAAGTCAGAGGCCAGCCTCAGCAACTCAGCAAGACCCTGTTCTCAAAATAAAAAGGGCTGGGGTATAGTTCAGTTAACCTGGCTAGGTGCACAGGTTCAATCCCACATACAAACAACAACAAACAAACCCAAAAATGAAAACCACGACAATAAAAAAGCAAACAACCCAACTTAAACTTGGCAAAAGATCTACAGATACTTCATCAAAAAAGATACGTAGATTGGCAAGTGGGCGTATGAAAAGACCCTCAATACCAGTGGCTAAAACCAGAATACTGACAACACCAAAGGCTGACAAGGATGTGGGGCAACAGGAATGCCCAGTCATTGCTGGTGGGTATGCAAAAGGCTGTAGTCACTGCTGAAGGCAGTTTGATAGCTTTCCACAAAGTGAAACATCTAGTTTTAACACAGAATCCCAAAGTGGTACTTCTTGATATTTACCCAAATGACTTGGAACTGATGTCCATACAAAGATCTACACACTAATGTTTACAGAGGCTTTATTCATAACTGCCAATACTTGGAAGCAATCATGGTGTTCTTCAATACAATATGTCCCTTACACAGGTGAGTGAATAAACTGTAATGCATCCACACAATGAAACACCATTTGGGGTTGGGGATTCAAAAAGACACAAGCAGATAAGCATACTGCAAAGTGAGAGAATTTGAACTGCAAAGGCTAAACCCACCGAATGCACAACACCAATAACAAAGTAAAGACTGTCAAGCCTGCGTAGCCATGCAGCCTACGACCTTAGCTATTCAGGAGGCTGAGGCAGGAGGTTGCAAGTTCAAGGTCAGCCTGGGCAACTTAGCAAGGCCCTATCCTGAAATGAATTTAAAAAGGGCAGGGGCTGGTAGAGAAATTGCCTGGCATGCACAAACTCTGCGTACAAAGCCACAGAGACAGGAAAAAAAAAATCTGTGGTTGCCAGAGGTTGAGGGGAGAGAGGGATAAACAAGCAGAACAGATAAAGAAGATCTTGAGGGCGAGGACTTTATCCTGTGTGTGCTATAAGAATTGACAGATGTTAGTGCACATCTGTCAGTCCCAAAGAACGCCCAACACATGCAGTGAATCTTATTTATACTATGGACTTCAGTTAACAATAATGCACTGACATAGGTTAATCAGCTGTCATAAGATCCACACTAAGGCAACATAATAACTCAGGAAGGGTAAGGCGCAAGACAAGGGACACATGGAAGTCTGCAAACCTAAACTGCTCTGGAAAACAATCTACTAGGTTTTTTTTTTTTTTTTTTTAGCCATGGACAGTTGGACAGGGTGGTCATACCTATAATTCCAGGACTTGGGAGGATGAGGCAAGAGGGTAGCAAGTTCAAGGTCAATCTCAGCAATTTAGTGTGACTCCATTTAATAATAATAAAAAAAAAGGCTGGGGATATAGCTCAGTGGTAAAATGCCACTGGGTTCAATTCTCAGAACAAACCAACCAAAAAAGGCAAAAGAATAAAAACAAGGAAGAAAGAGAGCACACCATGGGCCTGAACACTGAAGTGATCTCAATCTACTGCCACTATTAATCAACTACCTTCGGCAACTCAACAGAACTGAACCCTTTGTGACCACACCCACCCACTGACTTCTTTCCTTCTGCTTACACCTGACTCTGCTGGGGCTCTTGCCTCCTCAGGTCTCTGAAAGCCACACCCTTTCCCTTCCTTTCTCCTCTCTACTTGAGTAATCCTTCTTCATTCCCCAAAATACTCCTTAGACCCTGAACCCCCTCTCCCTGGCTTCCATCTTCTGGGCCCTTTCTAATAGGTCTACTCCCTTGACTTCCAGATGGTCTGCAGGGTCCTTCCTACACTCTGACCTCTAACTCCTGCTACTCATAACCAAGGTCTCCCTAGTTCCAAATCCCAGGGGTGGTTAGTGCATGCCTCAGCCACCCCTGCAGCAGTCAGCACTGCTGGCCACTCTTCCCTCCTGTCCTAAAATGCATGTTCTCCTAGGACACAACATTCTAAGCCAAGGTCTGCTGACAGCCACCCAGATTTCTGCCCAAGTGCCTCCCTCCCCCATGTATAACGCACTGCTGCACCCCACAAGAACCCACCTCTCCTCGGGCGTCCCCTCCTAGCCCTGACACACACCTAGGCGCTCTGTGCCAGGAGACTCCAGCCCTGCTCCGACTCAGCTACCAAATGGAACCAAACCCAAGCCAAGCAAGCTTCCTCTCCACACTCTGGAACTGAGATCAATGCGTGTGATCAGGTAACCACACAGCCAAGATCACGTGAGGGAGAAACAGCGCTGCCTGCAGAGGCAAGAATAAGCTCAAGAAAGATGCTAACTACCATGGTACTGACAACCCAGATTCTGGTTAAGTTTCTGACCTTTACTTTCTGTGAGCACCATCATCCCCCTTATTGACTTTTTTCCCTTAAATTTTGATTTACTAAGTGGGTTCAGTGGAGTTAAAATCAAATGACCCCCAAATGGTATTCTATGTACTAAGAAAAAAAATGTGCCAATTAAAATATGTCATGTCATCAACATGTACCTAATTTCAGAAGTATTAGGAAGTAAAAGCCGTCTACACCTAGTGCTCCGAGGGCAGGACCGGGCCAAGCAGCTCGCACTCCCGGGTCAGCCCAGGGGAGATCCATAGCTCAGTAACCAGTCAACTGCTATTTAACTCATCACGTTTTATTTTTTTTTTAAATATTTTTTAGTTGTAGATGGACACATACCTTTATTTTATTTATTTGTCTTATGTGGTGCTGAGGACGGAACCCAAGGCCTCACACACGCCACAACCCCAGCCTCACTTGTCAAGTTTTAAATTTTACCTTCCCAGTAAGATTATAAGCTTGTCAAGACTTCCTCTACAGAGCCTTTATAGATTAGTAAACACTACAAATATTCATTTAATTTGAGAAGATATATTTATTCAAAAGGTGACATCCGGTTTCCCACTAAGCTGAAGAAAGGGAAGACTCCAAATAATCACTTAAGACATGAAGAAAAGCTCACTATGATTTTTGTTTATTCAATAAGGGAAAGGACTTTTGTAGACCCAAAGAGAGTGAAGAACACGTTGCACATGTAGGTCCCAGGGAGTGAGTCCCAACCCTTAGTTCAGTGAGGATTTATAGGTTTTGAGAAACCAGTTTCTACCTCAAGGCCTGTCCAGAGGGAAGGGGCGTGACCCTTGTCCTGGAAACCCACAGAGCGCTCCCAGGCACATACCCACCCTGCTGAGTTGTTTAACAGGAGAGATCTACTGGTCATGTGTCCCTGACTCAGTCAGGCTAGGTGAGGACCCAAAGCAACCCCCTAGCAATCACTAATCAGTGAGAGATAGGGAAAATATCTGAAATGCCAGGTGACCCTCCCAGTAGTTTTGGTAACTGATAACATGATTAGGCCTCCCAGCAGTTTAGCGCACACTCTTGCAACTCCTCGTGGCCTAAACCAATCAGTTCAAATGTAGGCACCACTTGAACTAACCAATCACCCTTACCCGACTTGTTCCCGCCAGTGAATGTGCTAATCAATGTTAAGAGTTGTTTGATTTTCCCGTAGTGTGAAATGATTGCTGTGTGGTGTTGTGACGCATAGTGTATCCCCCAAAACATATAAATCCCCCAAAACCTGAACTAAGGGTTGGGACTCACTCCCTGGGACCGCTGCTTTGGAAATGGTTGTGAGTCAGGCTCGAGCTTGCAATAAAGACTCTTGTGTGGGAAAAAAAATAAGACTCTTGTGTGATTGCATTGGATTTGGCTCCTGGAGGTCTACTGGGGTCCCACAAATCTGGCATTACAGTGCTCAATCCACTGGCCACCAGGGAACAAAAGTAAGGCCACAAGAAATCCACAGCCCTCCCAGACTTGCCAAAATGAAAAGGACTCACAAAACCAAGTGTTGGCAAAGACTTGGAGCCTCTGACCCTCTCTGATGCCGCTGGCCGCAGCACTGGCAGGCACGCTGCTGAGGGTGGCTCACGGATGACACACGACCTACAAGATAAGTGATGTCCACCAAGACACACACAACAAATGCCCTTGAAAAGCAGAGGACAGTCTGTGGCATGATCACACAGTGGACCCGGGTGGCACATCGGGAAGTATCTCAGAGATGATGCTGAGGCAAAGAAGCCCGGCAGAAAGAAAGGACAGGATGTATGCAACCTCACCTAGGAACAACAGGAAAGCTCATTTATGGAAAATAAGGTCAGAGGAGGAGTCACCCTAGGAGGAAGAACACTGAAAGAGACTCCTAAGAATGTTCTTCATCTGATGTGAGCACTGAGCCATCTACATATGGGTGTAAAAAACTTTTAAGCTAAATTTAGCCCTAGTTCCACCCAGATTCCTGTACTGGCCTGGGGCACCCACTTCCCTTTTGCCCTCTCGGGAGAATGACCTTGGGGACGCATGCCTGAAGAGAGGGCAACTCTGGGACTCTCTCAGTGGGAATGGGCCAAAGCTAGACCCATGGCCAGGAAGACTCTGCTATCTGCCCCTCACCCGTTCCAATTTCACAGGCAGGAGGACCACTGTAAGATGATTAAGGTATGTGGATCTGACAGGGTCAAGTTTTTAAAAGGAGGGAACTGTTTGCACAGTTAAAAATGTGCAGGTGCGGTGGTGCACGCCTGACTGCGGAGGCTGAGGCAGGAGGATCCCAACCAAGTTCAAAGTCAGCCTCAGCAAAAGCAAGGCTTTCAGTGAGGCCCTGTCTCTAAATAAAATAAAAACAGGGCTGAGAATGTGGCTCAGTGTCCCCAAGTTCAATTCCTGGTAGGAGGGTGAGGAGCAAAATGTACGACCTTGCCTGGAGATTCTGATCAACAGATAAGTAAAGGTGTGTTACCGGGTGAAAAAACTCCAAGCCTGTGTCAGGACAAGCCAGGCACTCATGACCACAGAAGCCACAAGGTCCATGCATACAGGGGCAACATGGGAGGTGCTACTAGCTCCAAAAACAAGTATGCCAACTTTCCACCGCCAACTCTGTCAACTCCTGGAGTTCTCTCAAGTCCCCGCCTGTAGAACTCTGTTCTGGTATAAAACTGTCAATAGTTCACAAGCCCCTTCCAACTCAATTATGCCTGAGAAGTATCTATTTCCAGCACCTAGCTCTGCAGCTACTTCCACCAATCACCACCAGACACCTCAAATGTTAAGGTGCCAGCACACTTGTCGCCCACCTGGGCCCAGGTCCACTTCCACTGCCCTCAGAAACCACCCTGGCTTACAACTTTTGGGGCAGTTCTTACTAGGACTTGAAAACCGGCCCGGGGTTAAAAGCCAACCCCGCTGGAAGGGCGACAAGCTATCCCCGAAGGGGGAAAGACCACTCTGTACACTGCGGCCCATTTAACTCGGCCAGCACGGCAAGCACAGGGCCCACACGGCTGGGTCCGACGCAGGGGCGGAGCAGCGAGGCAGGGCCACCGACGCCAGCGGCTCGGGACTCCCAGGATCGCTGGCCATCATGCACGCGGACATTACGGGCTGGGTGGACACCGCCGGCCGGAGGACGCGGCGGGCCAGAGTGGTCACCTGCGCCGCAGGGTGGTGGGGAGTGCCGGGGGCTGGTAGGCGGGCCAGGGTGAAGGCGTGGGGGGGGGACACAGAGGGTCAACAGGGAGTCAGGGTGGACGCTGGGGCTCAGGTGGACCATCAGGACTCAGGGTGGACGCGGCGGTGCGGGGAGGCGGCGGGGGGTGATCAGGGTGGACCACAGGGGCTCAGGGTGGACGACGGGGGCTCAGGGTGGACGCGGCGGTGCGGAGGA